GAAATTAGAGTGCATCCTTTGGCCCCTTACTGCGCCTTCGTCCTGGAGAGATGAAGGGTCGATAAGGCGATAGGAGTGATCCTATCGCCGAGAGCGTATCCCAAACGCTCGTTCGCGGATGCTAAGGCTCCCAGAAGCGGAATCGCATTGGAGTAGGAAGGGGATCTGCGCTTCCTGCAGGAGATGAAGTCACGTGGCCCGTAGAGGAAAGTCGGAGGATTCTCGAGCGGATCTCCAAGCAGGAATTTCCTGGTTCGTTCCAGGGCTAGGTGGCATCTTCCGGTAAATATTTCAAGGAATTCAATTGGCTCCCTCTGAGATCCACGCGAGAAACCGTGGGGAACCGTGTCAAAGGGACGGGAGACTCATCTCCATCTCGCGCCGGTTCCCGGAAACCTTCTCGGTCGCGTTGGCCATCGATTGGCCGACTTCCCCGGCGGTGGGCCAACGATAAACTAAATAAAAAATTTTGACTCGGTTTTTCTTCCTTGTCCGTTTAAGAAGGCCGTCTGCCGCATTTCGTCGTCTCTTTTCGATTTTCGATGTTCTTCGCTCGTCCTCCTGACCTCGTCCCGATGCCTTCCGTTGCTCCCAAAGGTAACGGGAACGGTTCCGTTCCGAGCCGAGCGCCGTTCCTGCGATTCCTTCCGGCTCCATACGACTCGTTCCGGAAGAATCAGCCTCTCCAAGTAGGGCAAGGGATCGGGACAAAGATGACTTCAGCGGACATTCCCGATGCCTTCTCGAATTTAAATCTCACTCTATAACAGGACAAATTCCAATTTCGGAAACATCATTCCAGTTTCTTAATTTCATTTCAGCAGGACATCCTCACTTCTCTTAAATGAATAGAGCATAAGTTGAGCATGAGTATGAATTGAGCACGACTTGAGCATGAGTTGAGCATGGGTTGAGCATGGGTTGAGCATGGGTTGAGCATGGGTTGAGCATGGGTTGGGCATGAATTGAGCATGGGTTGAGCATGAATTGAGTGTGAATTGAGCATGGGTTGAGCATGGGTTGAGCATGAGTTGAGCATGGGTTGAGCATGGGTTGAGCATGAGTTGAGCATGAGTTTAACACTCGCAAATCCGACTCGACCTGGCAGGAAACCACCCACAGTTGCCGGAATGCACCCCAGCGAAAGTCGAGAGTCCAGATCCTCGTCTCCCGATTCCGCCGAGCGATCCTCGTCTCCCGATTCCGCCGAGCGATCCTCCCGGAGGAGGGAACGGGACTGCCCCGGATGACTCGGCGGAAAAACTCGCCGACCCTCCGAGTCTCCCCGCAGCGTCTGCGTCGCCAGTCGTCAGACCGAAGTGGAGAAGTGCGAAAGGTTCGTGTCTCCCTCCTAAACATATTTACGATTTTATAGATTATCAAAATATATATATATAAATATATACTATATATTGATAAAGTCCCTCTATCATCCCTCCATCCCCAAGTCCCTCTAGAGGGGCGTTATCACTGGTTAAAAAAAAAAATCCCTTTAATAATCATCCCAGGCTTTACATATAATAGGGATATTCAGGAATTACCAAATGCCTTAATTGTGCATAATTATCCTTTTTATTTCTATATTGATTTGTTCTACGTCCTTGCTTCCGTTAAATTAAAAAAAATTGCGAATAGTTAACTGCATATATATTCAAAACCCCGCCCTAAGTTTTGTAAATTATTGTCTTTTTTTGTCGAAAGCCTTTCTTAACCGCTGCTAAACCTGACAAACCGTTAGGTTTAACAGCGGTTAAGAAAGGTCCAGGCTTTCGAATGATGCAATACTTATTTCCATCAGAAAAAAAATTAAAACTAAATAATAATGTACAAAACTTGGGGCGGGGTTTTCTGGGACCAATAGAATGAAAATAACCACCTTAAATGGTTATTTTTTCTAAATTATGTGATTGATTGCAAGAACCACATGGCAAGATGAAGTCAAGAAAAATATTTATTCCCATTACTTAAATCATGTTATTAAGTATGATCATATTTATTATTAAGGACGACATCGATTGAATGTCAGGCAAATGATCATAATTGACATGATTATCATCATGATTATGATCATGATTATGATGATCATCACCCACTGAGCTCATTCCAGGTCCGCTGCGCTCATTCTGAGCTCATTCCAAGCCTCGTCGCAACCTTTTTTCGCTTTTAAATTAAGAAATTAAGAATTAAATTAAGAACCTTCCAAGAAATCGATGACCAATCGATCAAATCAATCGCGATCGATTATCGTTCGAGGAGCCCCAACTGACCGATCATTCTTCAATAGTCTCTAACTGGCGCGTGGTTTCCTTCTGGCATCTGAGAATAGAAACCGCTCGGAGAAAGGAGGAAAGTTTTCTATGAAGACTATGAATGTTTTCTATGAAGACTATGAATGTTTTCTATGAAGACTATGAATGTTTTCTATGAAGACTATAAAAGTTTTCTATGAAGACTATGCATGTTTTCTATGAAGACTATAAAAGTTTTCTATGAAGGCTGAGTTTTCTATGAAGACTATGAATGTTTTCTATGAAGACTATGAACTATGAATGTTTTGCATGGAAGATATGAACGCATAGTTTTGAAAACTCGTGAAGCGAAGCGGGAGACGACAGTCAGAACGGCGCGCCTCTCCATCAAGCTGCATGACGCAAGCAAGAGTCGAGAGAATCCAGGCGTTTCTCATCTCCGATCGTGCGCGCCTGGGAAAAAAAGACATCCCCGTCTTCCGCAATATTCGATGGGAACCTCCCCTTTGCAAATCTTTTTGCTTTCCGCCAAAAATAAATAAAAACAGCTGGATTTGCAAAGGAATTTGTTTGCTTTTTTTTTGCAATTTGACCGTTTTGGAATTTGCCAGAATTCGCAAAATTTTCGGATTTGTCTGAAAACTTTTCACTTTCTTTTTTTTTGGTTTGCCTCCTTCTAACCGGCGGTTAACCGGCGGTTAACCGGCGAGCGTCCATCGACCGTCGATTTCCTTGTCGGATTTTGAAAGGTCAGAAAGTATCTTTCAGAAATCGTTCGCATTTTTCAGAATGAAATTTGCAGTCTCATTCTGCGCAGGCGATTCACCTGCCTACTCAGCAAATTTTTGCAATAGTTATAAGCGAATTTCGAAGACAGAAATTTGCACAGCATTTGGTTCTTTTTTTAATTCCTCGAACTGCGCGCAAAACTTCTGCAATTTCTTTTGCTGCCGATTCTGACAGCGTCCGAGAGGTCATGACCGACTTGTCACTGGCCGCTTTCGGATGCCGCTTGAAAAAAAAAATTCAATTTCTGCGCGTCAAAGGAAACATTTTCGGATGCAAATGGCACGATCCGACAAAGTGCAAAAAAAATTTGCACGCTGCAGGATTTATTAAATTTCTGGCAGTCGCTTTTTTGTTTTTCGTCCTTCCAGCGGATTTGCATGCAAAATCGCGCCGGAGGTCGTCCAGGAAATTCCCCTTCAATTCCCTTTCAATTCCCCTTCAATTCCCTTTCAATTCCCCTTCAATTCCCCTTCAATTCCCCTTCAATTCCCCTTCAATTCCCCTTCAATTCCCCTTCAATTCCCTTTGTCCCTTTCAATTTCTTGGTGCATTGAAATTTTGCATCCTTCACAGATCGGGGAGAAAATGGCAAAATCGCAATTCACTTCGCTTGCTTAATTATCGCTTCATAATTACGTGAGTCATTAATACTTACGTTATGACCTCGATCCTCGAACAGTCCCCGATGAGGTCGGGCGTCTCGTGCATTTGCTCGAGAGGATGAGAGATGAGATGAGATAGATATGAGATAGAGATTGCGAGACAGAGATCTCCAATTGCCCTTCATTTCCGCCGTTTCTTTTATTTCCTTGCCTCCGAGGCACGTCTCGGCCGGAATAGAATGGTTATTTTTGGCATCCACGTAATGGTCTTTTTTTGACATCCATGTAATGGATATTTTTGGCATTCACGTAATGAATATTTTTGGCAACCTCGGGGGTCGCCTCCTCGCCGTTCCGCGGCGGCATGCAGTTGCCAGCGGAATGATTTCCGACGGTCGGCTATCTTCAGTCCTGTGCCAAATTTTCATGCCAAAAAAAACGTGTTGCCATTTTCTCGCACCGCAGAGACCGGTTTGGCTCGTGCCGTTTTCCTCCAAACAAATCATGCCGAAACACTCCCCGCTAATACATAAAACCTAACGCATAAACACGCAGAAGCAATTCATTACTGTGACCACACGTGACCACACGTGACCACACGTGACCACACGACCCACTCGAAAGAGTAGCAGGCCACCCAGTCTCGAAGCCAAGCGAAAGCGACCGCTCCCATCGACGCAGGAGGACGCCTCGGACAATTTGCAATTCATGAGAATTTCATGACTTGCACGGAATCGATCGATTCCCGTTTGCTTTCGGGGCTGGGCCTCGCGCGCCGACCGATCGAGTCCGCCGTCGCCCGCCGGCGTCCTCCAGCACGCGAATGTCTGCCACTATGAATGTCTGCCGCTATGAATGTCTGCCGCTATGAATGTATTTTTCCAGGAAAGGACATTATTCGTTTTCAATGAATAATGTCCTTTCATCACTCGCATGGGCATGTTGAAAAAGTGACCACGGGCGAAGAGCTTTTCCCTTCACTCTCGAACCCTTAATTCCCTTTCGGGATGTAATTCCCTCGAGTGAATTTCATTCAATTCAATTCACTTCTTTCCAGAATGTCGCGCTGGTCTCGAGATGAAAGCATCGATTGATCAATTAGGCAATATTTAATTGCCACACTCATTTATTTATTATTATATATTATTTGGGTTTTTCCACGAAATCGAATTAGATCAGACGCTAATCCCTTCCGGGATTAATGCTAATTCCTCCATAATTGATATCCGGATTCGGCTTTAATCCTTCGCGTAAATCCTATTCGATCGTCCTTCACCTCATCCCTTCGGGGACTCACAGATGATCACATCTGAATCAAACATCCAGCAATTCCGATTCGGTTTCAGAAATTCCCTCCGAGATGTCGAAATTCCGAGCGCACGTTTCCCCCGGGACCCTGCTGGTCGCGGTGGGGCTGGGGATGGCGTGGGAGACGGTGGCGCGGTGGAGGGGAGGAGGGTCCTCGCGGGGGCCGACGTCGCACGCGAGGGGCCACTGCGTCATCATCGTGTGTCTGTTGGCGCTCGTCTGCGAGGTCGTCCTGTTCCGCGGGTTCCGCGGGGATTCGATGTCGGTGGAGACGGTGCAGGAGGTCGTTCTGTACGGGTGGGTTCTCCTGATGGTCTTGGCGCAGATCTGCGTCGCCGAGTTTGGGATTCCTTTCCCGCCGCGTTCCTTCTCGGTTTACGTCATGCTGGCTCTGATGGGGCAGGGGATCTTGTTCTTCGATGAATTGCTGCGCGCGCGGTCTCCGTCGGCTTTCACGGTGAGTCTGATTTTCCCAACTTCGAGGATGTTTTTCTTTTTTTCCCTTACTGATGCATTGGATTAGATGTATACCTTGTTGGAGTTGGTGATTGGGATGGGGATGGCTTCGGCGTGGATGGAGGTGAAAGGCGGGGACAACGTTCAGGCGGCGGCTCTCTTTCGCTCCTACTGCTTCCTCCTGCAAGGGAGCTGGATCATCCAGATCGGATTCGCTCTCCACTCTCCCTGGAAGTGGGAGGAGGATGTCTCCCGGGCCATGACCGTCTTTGTGGGTCACATGCTGCTGGCTTCATTTGGCATCCTGGGTCTCAATTGCCTGGTGGCGTATTTTCAAGCGTCGGAGCCGGCTGCGGAGGATGACTCGGTGAGATGCCTGGGATTCTCCCCTTTCCCATTACTGGGCATTTTCTTATCATCGACTTTCCAGGTCGGGGCGCCGGATCTCGTCAAAGTCATCGAGCGTGACTTTGTGGCAGAATATTCCAAGTCGACTCCAGAGCTCTTGCCAGCATCGTGCTAGAGCGGCGAGAGGATTCACCGATTCTGAGCCCATTAAGCTAATCAACTATTTAGGCATAAAGTGCACGCCTCGGAAACTTATTACCCGTTCCGCTACTAACGTGTTTCCACTGAATATTTCATGAAATCATCCGACATCAGAGATTCCATGGTATGATGAAAACGAGCGAGAGACATGACTCAAGAAAAGGGAGCAAGTACTGTAGGCACAGTACTCCTTTATTCCTATGGAATGAGGACAGAGCCATCAGAAAAAAAGGAAATCCCGAAGAGCGAGGGATCTTTGGGCACCATCTTATTTAAATCGCTTCGTGCGTTTCGTTGATGGCGTGGTAGTAACGGCAAAATCTTTCTCATCGTCTTTCTAAGGTTGCAGAAAATTTCGTACACTTCATTCAGACGTCGAGGCAACCACAGCGTCTAAACGCATTTGTCCATCCCATTCGCCTCATAGGTCCTTCCGTTTGCTTGCGCTTCCTCTCAGTGGAAAGTCGCAGGGGCAAGATGAAAGGGGCCAGTTCACCTCAGATTTTTCTGTAAAAACGTAAGAGGCTCCCATTCCATTATGCGGTGTTCCGAGAATGTCACTTCTGACCTGAATTCTTAGTCGAGCCAAAAGAAGGAAAAAATAATTTATTCCCTCCTCTCCGAGAATTCATCTATTTCGCTTTCTATTTCCTTCAGAAAAGAAAATTCCCCCTTCCCCGAAAAATTCTTCGGCAACCCCACTCCCCCCGTCCTTCAACCAGGCCGGGGAGACAAGCAACTATGCTAAGGCAACCTTCAATTATCCAAATCTTTGGGGGGAGAGGGGCATTATGTTCTCGCCCCCCCCCCTCATCGTCTTCAGCTGGGATTTTATTTGGATTTAAGAATTGCCTCCTCTTCTCTGATTCGACGGTAGTAACACATTCACTGCCAGGAATTTAAATGAATTTATGTGTCAGCATACCTTCGGTAATGCTTAAGAGTGTGGTATCTAGTCTCCCCTTGTAGGTTGTGAGACATTTAAATGACATCTCTCGAAGAAATAAATAACTATTAGGACAACGGAGTGGAAACGGCTATGTCATGTGGCAGCGAATGTGTTCAGTCGACGGCAGAAACGGGTCAAGTGTTCATGAAAAGCGGTCGTACACTGCCACGTCTGAGGAAGGAAATTTGTGAAATTTGTTTCCTCAGCTTTTCTGGAAATGCATATTTATGCGAGCATCTTCGCAGTCAAGCACTACCAGATAATGCAGAAAATGGCAATAATACGGACAAATCAAACAATACAACAAATTAATATTTAAAAAACCGGCGTTAGGAAAATTGAAAAAAATGACTAGTTCTCAAACCTTTTTAAAAGTAAGACTCAAGCCAATGACAAACGTGTATCACAGAAAACTTAAATGACTTCAATCTTAACGAATGACGCTGGTCTCGTCAATCGGCTCAGAAAGCTGAGCCTGGAGAAAGGGAATGGTGAAAATCGCTAATAAAAAAAAAATTAATTCCATGGAAATGCGGATTCAGCGAAGGTCGAAATGAACATGCATGAGAATAAGTAAATAAATAAATATGAGTCCTTCAGGAATAGAAAAAAAAAATTTTGCATTTTATTTCCTCACTCTGATATATCTCTTATACCCAATTTCAATCGAAGCCAGACCAGGATGGTTTGCAAACAGTCCAGCAGAATCCAGGCGACATCCCTCATGAAAATTTGAGATTTCTTCGATTCATGAAACCCATTCGAAAACCTTGCAAACCACATGGAACCTTGGAATGATTGATTAGCCGTGCAAAACACAATAATTTCCACTTTCGAAATAATAAACTTAGGCATTTGTGAGCCCGATAGGCACTTTCAATCGAATGTTTTCATCAGCGTCTTCCTCGCAGCTTCGTGAATGCGGGGATCCAACTTATCTGGAAAGATAAGAGGGAAAAATGGACATGTTACAGTGAGTATCAAACAGAGTCGAATCATAATTTCTAATTGAAACAAAAACCACAACTTTCAACTGCAGTTCAGGTCATCATGAAATGCAATCCATCTTTCCACTGTATACAGAAGGAGGCACAATCAAGAGCCAAATGGCCAAAGATCACAGTATTTGTAAAGCATTGTCAACCCCTGCATAAAAAATTAGATTTTAGAATTTTATCCTAAAATCTGCCAAATGGCATCCTTGCAATACAAATATTTTTAAATACAATTTGTAGAAGGGGTAGATTTATCTCATGATAAAAATTTGACACTGAAACTTACAACTCTTTCTCTCTTTTCTCAAAAGGGACCACAGGCTCTTCCCTTGGTCCTAATGGATATGTCCCTTGCAACGCAATGAGTCCTTGGGGTCTCACAAAGAAAAATGGAGACCATTAACCAACACTTTTCCTCGAGGGGCATGTCTAACTGCATTTACGTGAAAGTTGAAATGGACCTCAACTGACAGTGAAAGATGCAAAAGAGATAGCATGTGATCAACCATGGCTTTTGACCTGTCAGAACACCATTATTTATTCATTTTGGCCTATTTCAAGTATGAGGAAATGAATCAAAACTCAAACTGTAGGAACATACAGATTTTGTGGCGTCCCTTGACGGGGAACTTGACGAGGAGTTCGTGGGGGTTGTCACAGATGAAGACATAAGGGGAGGAACTCTCCCCCTCTGGGTACCTCTCTCGGTAGTCCTCCTGGGAGAGCACCTCTGTCACATCCACGCATCCCAGGAGGCACCCTACTGGGTATTGTGATGGGAATTTCAACTTCTCATCTGGGAATGGCAATAAGAAAGGGTATTGTGTGAATAGCAACACTGGAGAGATGCTGCCAAAAAACTGGGGGTTTATTCAAGACTTATCTTGAGTACTATTATCAAGGAATAAGCTGAGTTAAGGACTTGAGTTAGGATTTTTAAATCTTTGAAAGGCATGGGAAAAAAAGGCAATAAGGAACATTTTTAACAGCACTCATTGAAAAAGATAATTTGATTTTCAAAGCAGATAAAAAAAAGTGAAAAAATAGCAAAAAATAGCAGCAGTGTGAGTAGGAAGAGTTTTTGCATTAATGCATAAGAAAATACTTATCTACATCTCATTGCAACAACTTGAATTTGAAGTACTCAATCATTTCTCTCCAAGGAGAAATTCAAACTGAAGAATTTCAAAACTGTGCACAGCTACTCACGGAGCACTAGCAAGTTTCTCCCAATTTCCAAGCAAACCAGACAGAAGCTTCACATAGGGGAACAGACCTTCATAGTAGACTCGATAGAAGTGCTCCAGCTCATCAATCTCCTGTCTCAATGGAACCTTGGCTGCAGCTGCAATCCATAGGCGTCCACGATGCGGTGTGTACCACGACCGACCCTCATGCCTGATGATGACAGCAACAAGTTAATAATCAATCTATGAGCCAGACAAGCCAAACTTGAAAAATGGGACTATTTTCAAAGAAAATTTGAAGCACCATAGAACTAGATAGGTACCAATTGTAATGAAGAGTATAATGAAGAAAGCTCACACGGGAAACAAATTCAATAGATGTCATATCATACAAAGTACTAGACCAATTTTGACCAAGGAGATAGTGATGGCATCAACTGATTTCTATGTTGTGTTCTTCCGTATTCTTTATTATTGAAAAACAGAGTAGGTGTTCCAAAACATTAACCAACACATTGGAATCATTTTTTTTGCATATGAACATGATAAAAGTTTAAGAAACTCAGCAGATTCATGGGACAGGAACCCACACTCCTCTTGTCCATAGAAAATTCATGTCATTTTTTTTAAATTTAAATTCTTTCCTCTCTTTGCCCTCTCTTTTGCACATAGGTCCATGTGCCAATGTGGCAGTAAAGGAAAAACAAAAGGATGTGGCCGAGGAGAAGCCTAAGAGACCAGCCATCCTCCCTGAACTTCCACTGGCATTTAGAGCTGAAAATGGCCTGTTGCCTAAGTTACAGGAAGCAAGAGAAGCAGCAGAGCATGGTCCAGGCAGAGGATGTCTGCAGGCTTGCTCTAGGACCTGAACATTTACTTCCGTTGCAGTTATGCTTCAAGGTGCATTGATTCATGCTTCCTTAAATACCAAGCAAACTTTTTTTTGAACAGTAGGGTCTCATATAAATAAAAAAGCAATATTAAAAAAAATTGTGAATAGCTATATATGTGGTGTCTATTGACTCATAGCACCTTTAGATTGTAACTTTTGGGGGTTTTAAGATCTGTTGTCAAAAATACATAAAAAATAAATAATACTAATATGAAAGCAAGAACTACAGGGTGTCCAAAAAAAATGTATACACACTTTGATTGCTAATTACTTCTATGTTTAATTTCATAAATTCAATTTTATAATTTTATAATGAAGAAAAAATGTGAGAAAAAAGTATGCATTAACGCAAGTGTTCAAAATGTCCTCCATTCTCATCCAGGCATTGTTGACATCGTCGAGAAACTGAAGTTTATACGAGGAACGAAAAGTTTTAACGGAAGCAAGGACGTAGAACAAATCAATATAGAAATAAAAAGGATAATTATGCACAATTAAGGCATTTGGTAATTCCTGAATATCCCTATTATATGTAAAGTCTGGGATTTTGCATTATTACAACGAACTTGCAACTGAAAAAGAGAAAAGGTTACTGAGTTATGGGTTGATGAAGTGTGTATACATTTTTTTGGACACCCTGTATATAGTAAATTACATAAAGCAAGAAACATACAGTATAAGACAACCAAAAAAGTGAAAGAAAATAACTTGGCCACTTTCTCTTAGGACTGCTTTACAAATTACCAGGGCTAATTAAGCAAAATATATCCCCATTAACCTTTGAAAGTTCCCCATAGGACAAGATTCAGCTTGACTGTTTTTCTGCTGCAGTCTCAATCCAAAATCAGTTTTCTCTTGTTTCCAGTTCACAGTTGGAGGGGATCAGATGAATTGCCAGTCATGGCATGATCCAGTATAGAATAGAAGCTACATCTGTACACAATTAAAATTTTCACTTAAATTGATTTGGGCATGAAATGGTTGTTATGTCATGAGGAAACTGACCATGGTAAAATTAAGCTTCCATAATATAAATTTTTTTTTAAATATCATATAATGAGGCTGCAAGTTGCACTTTCACCAGAATTGGTCACAGACTTTTTGATGCCAGCAACAAGGAGGGATGCCCAAGGCTGATGCATGGAGAGACAGAAGCCACCATCAGACATCTCCTGCAATTCCTTATCCTGAATGCGCAAGACTAGGTCATCATTTCCAAGCATTTCCTTTCTCGTCCTTCCCTTCCCTCTTGGATCCCTCGTCTGATTGCCTAAATCCATGTACTACAAAAAATGAATAAATATATACACATGAATAAATGCATGCACATGAATATATATTTGATGAGTACTTCAAGACAATATTCCCATTGGAATGGATCCAGTCTATGGAAATTAAGAATATCAAAACCCAAAAGAGAGGGATAGCTAGAATAGCCTTCAAAGGCCAACAAGTTGTGTAGGTTTCTCATCGGTGGCACAACCCTACAATCAATTTGTAGAGTAGCTAAGCCCTTTTCGACTTCTTGGTACAGGGGAAGAAAATTTATAAGGATGATGACAGAACTCCTCGATTTATGAATGGATAGCACCTCAGCTTTTGCCTCTCCCAGAGTCACCATATGTGTGCAATTCATTAGCTGGACAAAGTTTACACCAATGTTACTTGAAAGTGACCTGTACACTGTTCTGTGGCTGCTGAAATGAAAATGTTCAGGAAGCAAAACAGGCATCTACTTAAAATTTTTGCTCCACAGGATTGGTGACTGAGATTTTTTTTGAGGTCTACCAAAAAATATATAACTTTGAAACACAAAATTATAGACTTGCTCTTTTTTTGGAAATTGAAATATAAGTTCTCTATTTCATAGTGTTAAATTATTTCAATATTAGAAAAATTTAAAAGAACAAACTATTATGTCCGCTGTTGTCCGATGGTAGTTAGGACCGGACATACAGTTACCTCCGTTGGATCAAAAGTGTTAAGAACAAAATATAGTCCCAGGTGCATACATCCATGCCCAAAGGGCCACACAACCTCTCAAGGTATACATACTATGAAAGAATGGTAAAAGGGAAACACTGATGCATAGGAATGCATAGGTTCTACATTTACAAGAGCTCAATTTCAAAAACTTTTTCCAATATATTAAATTCTTTTGCACCCCCACATACACTTTATATGATATAACATAATACACAAAAGTGATGGTTTTCTCATTTAAGAACAATGAAGACCTAAAAAGGGACCAAAGGACTGACCCGAGGAGCAAATTCCAGCCCACTGGGATGCAGCTCATAATCGTCCCTTATCTTGAGGACGTCGTCCAAGACGGACTCGTCCACCTCGTACGACCAAGGCTCCACTTCTTCCTCCACCACCCGACGACCTTCGGAGTCAAAACATCCTCGAGTCATCAATAGGCCCTGAATGTCCTTCCAAGTTGATACCAAAAATATTGGGGCCATGAAATCAGTTCAGGAGAGTTTATTCCCAGATGCACCTCCAAACCAATTATGAAGAATCAGAACCAAAGTAGCCTCTAATCAGCCCAACAGGGAAATAACAATTTTTCTAGCATGCCATTGAATTGTATGACTCCTAATAGAACAAGCTCCTTACTCCAGACAGAAGAATTTCTCTCATGGTTTCTCATGTTTTGAAAGTAAAATATGATTACTTCATCCATGCTTTGTGCCTCAGTGAGCCAAGCACCACAGAAAGTAGTTGCAAGAGAAGGGAAAGCCACCTATCCCCACACATGATAAATGAAACTAAAGGGAGAAAAGTCAAGCAACCCGAAAGAAATCTTGGCAATACCAAGAAAAGAGACAAACTATTTATTTTGCAGGAATTAAAATTTCAAACCATGCTGCTCAAATTGCAAGGATTCTACGAATGAATTGCATCAAACTTTGTTCACGATCCCCTATAAGAACAGACCATTCATCAACCCACCCTCCTCCAGTTTTTCTGAAAATGTTGAGACTTGTAGGATCCAATGCAAGACTAACCTGTACTAAATTTCATTATTGATTGAGTGCTTTCTGAAGTACTGCAGTTTGAATATTGCCAAAAATTGCAAATTTATGGTAGAGACTTTCCAGTTTCTACGAATACATAATCCTCCTTTTCAGCAAACCAGGCTGAAACACTCCTCTCATGACTCCCTATGACCTGACTCAAGCAGTCATGATGACTGCCTGATTAACTGATCTTTAAATGTAGAAATATTCAAGTTGGCTAGAGGAGCCAACCTTTCCTTAATGCTCAAAGGGTTACTTTCCAGCAGTATGTTGTGCAAAATTACTCCAAGCACTTGAAGGTGCAGGCTCAAATCATGAGGCATACAATTTTCTATGAAATCCAAGAAGATCAAAACTGCAGGCTTTGTCTAATGCTTCAAATAATTTTTGAGGCTAAGGAAAGACTGTCCAATATTGAAAGTCAGAGCAAACTTAGTAAGAAACTTCAGCATGCAAAATGCCCACTTTCATCACACTAGGAAAATAAGACCGCACAGAAAACGAGAGTTCGGACGAAATCAAACGAAGACTAAGGCAAACCTGCAAAATCAAGGGTGAACTTCTTGGATCGCCGAGCCCTTTCTTTGAGGTCCGTGATGGTGGCTTCTCTCGCCTTGAGAATGGCCTTCTGGGCTGGAGACAGCCATTTGTATGTGTCCAGTGCAAAATAATCGCTCTCATCGTCTATCACTCGCGTCCGGCGTTCGCTGGAGGAACGAATGCAAACGGGAGGGGTGATGATTTTACTGAATGTCAATGACATCACAAATCCTGCCACATGGCAAAACTTTTCAAAGTAAAATTAAACATTTCCAAACCTTTCTCTATTGATTTTCTGATCTTGGATGAAAACAGGGATCGCATATGAATGAATGAAAATGGAGTTTGGGAGTTGGAGGCACTAATTCACTATTGAGCTGTCTCTGCATCAGAGACTGAGCTGTATCATTTGCAAAATTCTTAGATGCAGACATTCAGTGAACTTTTACCCTATCACTTATGAGCAAAGTGCCCATTTTTAAACTTCCATACAGACAACTGTAACTGAATATTTCTGGACCTCATCAAAGCAAAATGAAAGCAGAGGGATGTGCAAAAACTCATCTATAAGAATGAGGAAAGAAAGGGTTAATTCACAGTGAAAGTCAGGAGACATGACAAGTTTAAAACAAGGGGGACTGTTTCCAAAGAAATAGAAAAGGAAAATAGCAAATCAGCCAACACAATTCTCATTATGAGCCATGCCCTATGGTTCAGCCCATTGCTTGCGATCATGTCTAGAAACTTCACGGAAAACTGGGCCGGACCAGCAACCACATCTAGCCGATGGGCTGGAGCCATATAATGATCTTGTGCCCTTTGACTGGTGCCATTTATGGCATGATAAAGAATAAACATCCAAGATATCAAATGCATACTGAAATAGGCCTATTACAAAGCCAATTTTTTTAAATCTGATATCTGTGATAAGGGTTGGGTATGACCATCACAATGGATAATAAAGCCATTGATGCCTCCAACTACTAATGATGACATTAATACATTGTGACAGTACTATTTCTTTCCTATTGCTGTTGAAAATCATTAACTAAGCCACCTTCATGTGCTTCCCTTTCCTTTTCCTACATAAGGAAGTCTTCTTTGGCATTTTGACATCTACATACAAATCCAGACAGCTGACAACACAAACAGTGCCATGATGGCAGCTGATACCAGTGGCTGATGATGTGCCACAAAAGCCCCATTGAAAACAGCTCCCATAACAGACAGAAGAAAGAACCAAAAAGAAAAACGTAAGCTTGGTCGAAACCCGAAAATCATCCGTTCCCGAGGCACAGGTGGGAAAGTGACTCACCAATTGCGGTCATACTCGAGGAGCCTGTCCTTCTGCTCGAGGGCCTTTTTGAGGTTTTCATCTGCAGACAGGCCCAGGGCAACTTCCTTGATGGACGCATAGTCACCCCTCCCACCGTCCCCTCCGATCAGCTTCCTCTCTAGCTCCTTGGACTTCTTCGATCCTCGTGCCAGGACCTCCCGCTCCTCTTTTGTGCAAACCTGCAGAGGAGAGGAAGTATAAACTAATGTAGTAAGTCCAATATTGTCTCAGGGGCCTTTTCACAAAGGCCCTTGATCATTCCCAGGGGGGGGCTGACAGCAAGTTCTTCTTGGTTCATCAATGCAATATGACACTTGATAAATGAAAAAAAAAACTTGTTGCCAGACAAAACATCCCAGCATATTGCATGGCCATATATAGCTGCACATCAAATTCCAGAGCAATTAAGTCAACTCCATTGAAACAGAGAAATAAGAGTTAGATAACATGAACAATGGCTTCTCCTGCAAGTGGCCCAAAGGCAGTTTTATGAGGACAAGGGAAGGTAGCAGCAGGTCACCCTCTGAAATAGAACCATTGCATTCATTCTACTTTCCCAACTATTCCCCCTCTCCAAGAGAACAGTCTATCTATTGGGAGAAGACAGCCATCTGATACATCATCAACTATTTAGGACAGTTCAGATCAGAGACTGTCATGCAGTGCTTATGGTTTTGTGCCAGTACCAGATATACAAGGTGGTCATAATTAAATTTCTCTTATTCAGAGACCTATACAGAATCATGTAGTGGGTGAAACACACTAAAACTTGGGTAAAGGAAGACATGCAGAAGAGAATGGGATGAATTAGAGAAAAATTAGCTTATATTTTCATCACCAGGGGAAAAAGTGGTGCTGTGACTGACAGTGACTGTGACTCCCAACTATAAGAAGACTTCAAATGATCAGAAACAGTCTCAAATGCCATTCATGTTACCAGAGCATGTGTTGATGGTAAAGTTTGACCATCCATACCAAATTGTGATTACCAATGGAAACCATGTAGAACAATTGCACCATGGACCAATAACAAATTGTATACATTTTTTATTCATGCCATTCTCTTCTGCATGTTTTCCTTTACCCAATTCCAGAGTTTTAATGTGTTTCACCCACTACACGATTCTCCAGAGGTCTCTGAATAGGGGAAGTTAAATTGTGACCAAACTGTACGAAAACAAATACATCTCAAAGGAGTCTGAGGTGCCCACAGATTGCATTGGAAGTTCCTTGCTGCATTTCCCATATTTCAATCAAAAACTTTGCCTGACATACAACAATGACATCACTGTACTCTCAATTGATATAGGTTTCCAAATTGTCAAGATGGGAACAATTCAGAGATTCAAGGCAGGAATGCTTCCATGACTTTTGAAATAAAATAAACTTTTTGGGTTGGATTTAGAGTTTGGATTGTTTTTGTATTGTCTCAAATTGGAGAAAAAATGTTTTCAATCTATTCATGACATTTGGGACACCCTGTATTTATGCAAACACAATTGTGGTTTCATACCATAATTCAAAATCCTCATTTTCACAAACTCTTTCTAAAATGAAATTGGAGTAAGACATTGAAAATTTCAGATGCCATAATGACCTTGTACCATGTCTTAACAAGGTGTCACAGTCAGGTAATTAGAAAACCACCAGGAAGCCAAGTCTGGCCCATCAAACTCACAAGGGTCCCGCAGAACGTGCAGGGTCCAGATCCTTCCTGGTTGCAGACGATCCGTCCACACTTGAGGCAGTTCCCGACCAGAGCGTGCCGGCTCGCCTGGCAGTTGCACACATGCCGTCCTGCGACCACAACCGACCAGAGTGGAATGTTACCGTGTTGCTTTTATGAAACCTAGTGAAAGGCAATTCCCCAGACCTGGAAGCTGCATGACATTGTGCATCGGTCCATCCGGGGAGAAAAGTGGCACAAATTTCCCCTTCTTCTTCCCACTCCCTGGATCCTGTGGGCTCAGCTTCAGCTGCAAAAGCATCACAATCAGCCACCCAAAAATGTACATAAGCATGAGGAAGAACTCACTCATAAGCCTTAAAGAAGGATTTTAGTAATTCTATGGTAGATAGGAAGACCCAATCAGATTTAAACATTCATACCAGTACCATAAGACATTAATATCAACAGGATATACAGGGTCATCAGAAATAGATGCTCTAGTTTTCATCGCACATATTTTCTAAAATAATACACAGAATCTGGAATTATAGCTGACAAAACACAGGATGTTTGGGAGTTTTTAATTATGAAAACACATTTTGAATGTGGGAGCCTCCAGCATCCATGATCCTCTGCGGGCATTCACCGATGTTTTCGATAACCGTGAATAGTGTTTGCTGATTAATGATTTCCATGACAGTCTTGATTTCTGCCTTCGATTCTTCAATCGTGATATCCCTTCTTATTGTCCTTCACATTACCAGTATTTACAAATTTTGTTACTGGCCTGTTTATTCCAGATGTGCTTGGAGCATCCCTACATCAAAATTCACTTCAAAAGCCACACTGCATTTTAATAATGCTGCCAGTTTGATTTTTAAAATTTTCCACCACAAACACCCACTGCTCTGTGATATACATTAGCTTGTTTGCTGTTTCTCGAAATTAGCACTAGGACTGCATAGTACGATACAAAACTCCCAAGTCTGATGTGTCGAATGGTGCCACATATGAGGTTGTTGGCAATGTAGTTCAGGAAATATAAGTGATGAAAACTGAAGCATCTTCTTCTGATGACCCTGTATATGCTACTATTCAGCACTCAACAGCCTGTGTTTGGAGAGAAAGATGCTACTGTATTCTATATCTCTTCCATGTAATCCCAGTACATAAATGAAATATTTAACTTTTTTTTTCCCTCAAAAAGTAACAAAATTATTCTGTTATTCTCCCTAAACAATATTTTCTACATTCCATTCCATGACCAACCAAATAAGTCCTACGCATTACTAAATCCAATAGAAGGCTTAGAATGCAGTGACCTCTGATGACCATCACATTCCCTTTTCACTCAATTTTGGACTGTGCAGTTGCTCTAATTTCTGCATATAAATAGGGGAAAGTTTGTCTGAATAATTTGTGAAAACAGGCATTTTAAGATGCTTCTGCAGTGAAATGAATATGGCACTAACATGTGATTACTTGTTATTTCTAGAATGGAGAAATTAATCTCAATAAGGAGATCTACTCCTCAATGAGCCATATGACTGTGGCTATTGCGTACATGTAACATTCTTAACACCAACTACAGATACTGGCAACTTGTGAAAGAGTTCTTCATGGAACTCCTAAGAATTAAGATTTCATAACATTTTTTTTAAAACCATTTGCATGGCCACCTTAATCGGACTCAGCTGCTCACATTTTCCATCCCAGCAGCAGCAGCAGCACCAAATGATTGATCCTTGGAAGCATCTTTCCCAACAGGGGACTTTTTTTGCGCTGGCTGGAAGCCAAAGGCCTCCTCTGCATCGGCCGGCTTCTTGTATGCGTACATCTTTGTGGAAGAGAGGAAGCACTGGGGCCTTGGAAAGCATGCCTTCTTCCTGTACTTCATGATGAAGCTTTTCTATTTCCAGAAAGGGTTACCATGATGTATGCCACCATTTTGGGCAATAGACCCAAAATACCCTTTAGTTTTTTTTAAACTCTTGCACCTTCAAATGGTCGAATTGGTAAAGGATTAGTTGATCACTAGGGGAGCACAAAGGTCAAATACAAAGCAAAAAGATGACAAATGAGAGCATTTTTGAAGGTGTATTTTCCTCTGGTAAGAAAAGGTATGAGGGAGGGAAGCCAATAACTTGTCTTTCCTCCCTCATATCTTTTCATACTACTGCCACAGTTTCCACTGAGAATTTTCCTTGCTTTTACTCTGCTCCTCTACTCAACTTTACTCTACTCAAGTCCTCCCTAGGAATGTTCACAGTAAGTCCAGCACCTTCCATTCAGTCTAATTTATTTCAATATGCAAGACTGACTTACAAGAATGGATGAGCCTTTATTCAGAGACAGATCACAGACATCAGGTTTAATACAGCATTTCTCTGATGATACATCATGCAACTTCCAAATTCCCTCATGGGGGAAATCCACACAGCCTGAAACCAAGTCCAATGTGCAACTCCTGTTGGACGGATTCGTCCTTGAGGCACTTTCATGAGCTTTGGATAAAAATGCAATGGAGACAGAGACCGGCTCAGTTCCCAAGGAGGAGTTCGTCTCGGTTCCCACGGCATCGCCGCACCAGGGCCCACACTCCCCCTATGATGGCAGCCAGAACAGGGAGCCCAAATGCTCCTGCGATGCTCAGGATGACAAGCAACGAGAACTTGTCGCTCGGTGGACTTCCATAACCGACCAGGAACGTCCTATCATCAGAAACAACACAGATCCACCAGGACAAAGTTATACAAGGATCAATTTCAAATATTTAGTTCTGTACACAATGTACATATTTTAAAATCAGTGACAACCTGCATACTTACAACTAGCACTAATTGTAGGAGTTCTAATTCGATTTTACACAATTTTTCACAATCAGAAAAGAGGGATAAGGTACCGTATTTACTCCAGTATAGTGCGCCACCGTGTATAAGACGCACCCCCGCTTTTGAGGTCCCAATTTGTGTAAAAAAAGATTCCCCACGTATAAGGCGCACCCCCCTATTTTGTAGCGAAAAGTGTTGGACAAGGGAGATGAATAAGGGGTAAAGCCTGTCTTGAGGTAGTTCGAACCTCGTTTCTTATTCACTGTCCTGACCTTTATCGAGGGGGGGGGGCACAGTATCCCTAACGTTTGTTTTAATATTCGTGAAAACGGATGGAAATATACGGCGAAATAACACAGCTGCAGAGAAATCTATGTGATTCAGGAAGCGAAGGAGCTGGGCATCCGTGCAATAGGTCATAAGTATGACATCGAGGAAAGTTGAATACAGAAGAGGATGGAGGCGAAGGCGAAATTAAGCCGGCTATAAAGAATCTCATGGCCTTTCGTAGGGAAAAAGGAATTATTTCCGGTAATCAAGAAGGGAGTGACCGAGAGTGATGGAGACGCNGAATAATTTCCGGTAATCAAGAAGGGAGTGACCGAGAGTGATGGAGATGCAAACCCATACGATTTCGAGAGCAAACGGGATCTCCCATCGAAAATTCAATGCATCATGAGGTTGAACGACGCTATTCATAAGCAAGTTGGATTTTCTGTTCGTCGGAAAACGTCAGCAGCTTTCCATGAGAAATTATTGTCTCTGGAACGGCCCCTCCTCCACGGAGGAGGATGTGAGCTCCGCGAATCAATTTTCCACGCCGCCAGACACCTCAGATTCAGATTCTGATTCCGATTCCGATACTGAATGAAGTCTGCGAATCGACGTAGCCACTCCCTGTTTACCATTTTATCATTATTATATTTCTCCTGTTCTGACTGACTGCAGACAGTTTCCGCCTCAAATTAGTGATCAATGAGTTATATTAATAGATACGCTGAAAATTTTTTTCTCGAAAAAGAGAATTTTTTCCTCGAGTATAAGACGCACCCCCTCATCGAACACAATAAAATATGCAAAAAAAAAGCGCCTTATACACGAGTAAATACAGTATTTCCAGAAACTGCTCTAGCATGACAAAGCATCCTCTACTGAATATAAATGAAAACAGAATATAATAAGGAACATGATCATTATCATGTGGGCATGGATGTCATGATTCGATCAATAAGACTCAAGTGCTAGATTCAAGCTTTCTTACTAAAGTGGCAAAGTCAAACCAACATCAAAAATGCTACCAAGTCCTATGCATTACTAAATCCATGACGCCCTCAACTTGGATGATCATGCTTCTAATCTGATACATCTCTATACACTTCTCATAATGAAGAGTGAATTATCCAAAAAATATTATACAGGAATGAAATTTCTTTTTTTTTTCCGAATGATTCCATGATTGCATTGTGTTATTGTGTTCAATAGCTTATTCAAAAGCAATATGAATTTTTTCTAGCTGTTAATTGCCTTCCCTGCTTTTATTTCTCTTTCTTTCTGTTATGGTGGAATGTAAGTCTTCTGCTCCTCCTCACCTCAAACAGGTCACGGCCAACAAAGGTTTCATTCGGCAACTCAGCCAATTACCCAAGGAAACCTTACAAAAAATCAAATTTGTGTGGCCCCCACAATTGTTTCCATGCTTTCCAGGATAGGAAACTGAGTATGACTAACAGTCCAAAGCAGATGCTCTGAATTCTATGTTGCTGCTCTCTTTTTTTGCATTGATAAGTCACAACATTTGTGAGGGCTTACACACTTGCATACCTCCACATTTGAAGGACAAAGCTGATACCAAATAGCAAAAAAAGAGTGGGAACCTGAGCCCTGGAACCATCTCATACCACTGAATACTGATTCTTGAGATAAATGGCTTTTACCACATATTCCTCTCAACAAATTTTCCCTTCTGAAAACCAGAAGTAAAGCATTCCCTGACTCAGCCAATGACAAGAATAATCACTCAATAATGATATAAAATCCTAACCATGAAATGAAGTTTGTGGCCTGATAAAAGCCATCTTCCTGGCGCCCGAAAGAGACATTCATGCGATGCAGCGGGAGACGAGTGATGTTGCCGAGGGCGGCACGGACGAGGGAGTGCTGCATCGTGGCAGCCCCATCGACCTCCTGCAGGGGGTAGTGGGAAACCAAGGTGGCATCGTTGATGTCTCGTTCGGATTTTGTGTATGCAACAGGTCGCCACTGGATAAATCCTCCATCTTCACCCTCCTTCTGGAATGATGTTGTCTCCAATGAGAGCATCTGGAACAGAATTTTGGTCTATTTTGGTCCATCTCACCCAAGGGTCTCATAACATGTCAAAGTACTGAGAATTTGAAAGAATTATTCCTGCTTAGCATGAGGGGATGGCAATGGTCTTGTCCTCATGGATGTAAATAAGATAAACTTTTAAAAAATTTTTTTACCAAATAGAATTTTGGAACTATTTCATTAAAATGGAGAACAGCCAAGTCAGGAAATAAAAAGGCAAACTTAAAACCAGAATTAGAGTCTAAAGCATGAGTGCTTTGATGTCATCTTGCTTACCCGAAAGACCCCAGGGGTGAACTCATCATCCAGAGAAAAATGTTCCTCAATGGTCACATTTTCAGCTGGATTCTCCACAGCTGGGTCCCAAGAGGCAAATACAGAACTCAGTGCAAACCGTGTTTGGTTGTATCCCGAGCCCAAGTTCAAGTTCTTCATGTGAAGGTCAAATTGAGTAGAGTTCATGGAATGGGCCAATCGTGGGAGAGTATCTGCTCTTCCAATGTCTCCAAACACTGATGCCTACAAATAAAATTATTACAAGCAATAAAAGATGGAATCTACTTTAATAACAGTAAAATTCACATTTTGGATGTAAAGCAAAAGCTATCAAGAGCTTTGTTCCCAGTTCCAGCTTTAGACAAAAATAAGATTTTCCATCAATATCTCATCACTACACAATCAAAATTGCTTTCGGCCTACTTGACAGAGGACAGTCATAGCTGTTCGCATTTATTACTGAGCAATAATGACATCATAGTTATCTGCTGCCATTACTACTACCATTACTCTGTTCACTATTTATTTGTTGTCATAAAGCCAATATTAGAATGGTTGACTTATCTTCCACCCATCGGCATGCAACACCTGATATTTACTGATATTTAGGTTCCTTCTACCAGTCGAATTCTCCAGCAGCCATAAGTTTTCAGTACATAATGTACTCAGTTTGTGAAAAGGTTTCTACCTGAATAATGAATTCCATTCCCGAGGGGAATGCGGTACCATTGTAGTCAGTGGCGTTCCAAGACACCAGGACACTGTCTGAGGATGAATTCTGAACAGTGAGGGACCACAAGAACTGATCCCCCATGCTGTAATCCGAAACTGCAGCTGGGTGCGACCACACCTCGGGAAGAATCCCGGTGTCGTGCACGTCGTCGAACTCGACCAACTGGAGAGGAGGAAGAACAAGGATGACGACCGTGCCGGATGGCCCTCGGCTGAGTCTTCTGGCAGCACTTACCTGAACAAATGTCAAACTAAAGGCATAGATCAGAGGGGTGTCAAATGATATGGATTCTGCAGGATCTGTCGAGTTCAAGGCGGTCCAGTTCACAGTGAGATTTGCAGGCAGCATGGTCAAGGCAACAACTAAAGAAGGGGCTCCTATGGTCCCAAATAAATAATGCAGAGTGTCGTTCCAGCCGATAGCCTTGACGTGGACCAGTTCCAAAGGATCCTTGCTCTTCAGGCCTGGATTAACCTCCACAGAGATCTGCAGGAAACAAGTACTGAATCATGTCAAACAGCTACACATGCAGCTTCAGAGTTTTTAACTCATGTCTATGATGAGGTACAGCCAACATAGGCTCACAGGCATACAGAGCACATGGGCAAAAAAACTCACAGGCCAACATTTAAAAGAAAAATACCATTTTAAAATTTTCATTGGGATTATTAGGCCCACCACTGGAGCAAAATCCTTATGATCACATTAGAGATGAAACAGCAGCAAGTCTCAAGTCTCCCCGTGGAAATAATGCATTTTAAAAATATGAAAAATCATTCCTAATAATTGGAAAAGAAAAGAGGAATGCCACCGCTACTTCAAAGTTAAATTTCATACCTAAATTATCCATGGTTACATCAGTTTTACTGACTGCTCTCGTTACAACCTTTACAAGATTAATCCTGTTTCATGCCTTTCACCATGCCGAAACAATGGTTGAGGAAGAGCCAAAAACTGGAAAGGAGGGACAGATACAGTAATAAAAAATAAAAAGGGATATAATTCCGCACTGTACGCAAAGAGAAGGTTGCAACGGCTGCAGATCATTTTACATATTCAACAAAAATGGAATAATCCTCATTACATATGCCTGAGAAGGGCGAGTAACTCGATTGCTTCTTTAAGTTGCCCAGTAAATGTCTTCACCATGAAAGCAAAATTTCACATCGGTGAAAATTTTGACGCAAAGCCGAAATGCCCATTCAAAACGTTTGATATTTTCGTACGCAGAGGATCGACTCTCTGAACAAAGGAGTCAGAGGAGAGTAACGCCTAGGCCTAGCCAGAACAAAATCATTACCTTTCTGCTCTTCGTGTGACCTTCATCAACCGTCGAAGCAAACCCTGATGAAACAAGGCAAAGGAGAATAAGGTACTGCGAAGTGCACAGGCGCCTGGAGGCCATCCTTGCTCCGATCTTCCCCCGAAACATCCACGCAATCACAACCGTCACGTATCAGACTCGAAGCGCTTGCCAATCCTCATGGTCTCACGCCCTTCAACGCGCAACACTCCGAAGCGAAACGCAGGGCAGCCCCTAGACACCCGCAAGTGCAGCCTAGAGGGCCGACCCACTCAGCTCTACGGGGATGATGCAGGTGGCCATGCTGGGCCGCTATCGCCAGGGATGCCAGATGTGCACTTTTTTTCCCTGGAACCTTTTTCCTTTGTAAAGGAATGATACCTGCCTCTAGAGGCAAGTAATTCCGGTTACTAATTGAAACATTTTTAGAGAGTTGCATAAGTGATTATTAACAGCGAATACTCATATACTGCGCAGACCAAACGGTAACGGATTCGGCAACCTTTGGAGGCAACGTGAACCCAATCTGTTCATCGGAAATGAGGAGCTGATTCACGAGAAGCCGAACGATCATCCACTGCTTATGTAATACAAATCCTCCAACGTGACGGACATCAACTGATTAGCTAGGATACTTAACTGCTAACGTGTCCAGAACTTGCTAATGAAGCCATCAATCATCATTACCAAATCCGGTTCGTATCCACTCAAGAGTCGATCTCGTTTAATGTTCATTACATAGTTACGACTCTGTCATCATTCCCGGTTGCATCACGCACCACACAGGGCGATTCCGAAATTACTTCTCACCCGACAAGTTCCTGGTTCGCTTTGTCGATGAACCGTCAAAGCCGCCGCGAAGTCCCGTCGGATTTACGAGCAATTCACGGAATAAAACTTTCTTCACGACGTCCACCTCTTCATACAAACGAACGGCGAAAGAGATCACGGAATCCTCGAATGCTTCTGGATGTCCTGACATCTTCAGCGCTTCAACCTTCATTTAGGTGCATAGTTTCGACGGTAGATGTCTCTCGTGAGCCCTGACCTGCAGCCTCAGATCTTTTCCATCAAATTCATCTATTTGGTTTCTTCTGGAGATAAGTAAGGATTTCCTTACCGTGCATCAGGAAAACTGTCACTAGGGAAAGCGAAAAATTTTCGGTCCGAATTTCAATTTATTCCGCTGTATTCTTCTTAATGACGAGTGATGGCATATCTGGATACAACTCTCTTGGATGGAGGCCTGAGCTAATTCCTTAAAAGAAGAGGAGAAATGGACTTTGAAAATGGAAGGCGACCAATATCTTACTGCTGCTGCTACCTTTCATCCTTTGCTCCTTCTGTGAACGACTACTCTACCGCAACTTACTCAAGACAGCTGCCCAACACGCAAGGTAACACATCCGTTCAAAATCTTGCTTCTGGGCATTGGGATTCCACTGTCACTGAATCATTGTCTGCGGATGAGCTTTGCCTGAATTGGAGATAGGGCAACTTTAAACCCGGCGCAAGTTGCGCCAGAACGAGGGGGACAGAATGGAGAATCTGGAGCTGGAGGAAGTCATCATTCACCCATTCCGGAAGTCATCATGCAACTGAAGACGCTCACGTTGAAGTTACAGAAGGAGTTGGCATCAGCGTAAAGGATACTATCGACACCGTGAATCGGAGCAGAGAGGAAACGGGCGCATGAAGGTTGCCTCAAGGGGGAGAGGCCGTCTAATGGCGTACCGACGTCTTGCACTGACAAAAAGAGCACAAGCAAAGCAACATTTCCTGCCAAAACGGAACGCGAAGGAATCCTAGAGGAATTGGAGATCAACAATTGCAAGTGCTTTCTCGTCCCTGGGATGCTGCCCGAAGCAAGGGAAATTCCGTTTTTGCAAACGCCGCAACTGACTCGACCACCCAGGATGAATGAAGAAGGAATGGATCGCCTGATGAGGCCCTGACGGCCGGCTGGGACCCATCCAACTTTCATTCTTCCTTTGTACGAGTGCAATCAATGTTTCAATAAATGAAAAATAAATAAATAAAAATAAAAAATAAAAACTCTTAAAAGACTTGGTGTTAAGTCATCTGGTGCATAGACCCTTCGTGTATAGCTGCTACATTTCGTCGCTTGGAGATGTATCCCCTATGATAGGGCCAACACATCGGGAGAGAATTCTGCTACCCCATGATCGTCACTCTTCAATCGGTCGAGGACTGAGGATTAAGTTTTCCTAGATCAAATTGAGACGTCGTCGGAAGTAAAGAGTTCTTCTGTGCGGTAGGAAATGAGTCCTGTGCGGATGGGAAGGGGCCTGCAAGTACTGCCTGGGACTTCTCCCTTGTCCCAGAGGAATATCCCTGGGACATATCTGAGATGTGCTGCTTCTTCGAGAAAGGGACATTGGATGTCATTGGGCCCAGACATTTTGATATCCCTAAGACGTCCCCACTCCTCGTCTCTGGAAAGTCACACTCGCCCCAAGGGGATATCTTTGGGATATGCCTGTTGCAGTGCATCGAATTTACGAGCGATTCACGGAAATAGACGAACGAAAAACTTTATTCACGATGACGACCACCTCCTCACACACACACGAACGCCGAAAGACACTACAGCGCCTGGTCGAGGATCTTCGAGACGCCCACGGCCCCATTCTTGATGCTCTTGTCCGCCACCTCCAGCCGGGAGTGATCCTTCGACAGCCTCGTGAGGAGGCGGGGGAAGCCGGGGATGGACATCACGGCTGACAGCCACATCGGGAGGCCGGTTGGCACCTGCAAGGGGAGGGTGGAGGGTTCAGGTGGGTCAGCCTTAAATTATGTCAAGTCCCCTTGTTGGCCCTAAATTATGTCAAGTCCCCTTGTTGGCCCTAAATTATGGTAAGTCCACTTCTTGGCCTTAAGTTAAGCCCATTTGTCGGCCTTAATTTATGTCAAGTCCCCTTGTTGGCCCTAAATTATGGTAAGTCCACTTAATGGCCTTAAGTTAAGCCCATTTGTCGGCCTTAAATGACGAGGCGAGGAATGGGAAAAACTCGCATTGAAACTGCCCGTCCACTCCCGATCGGGATCCGCCTCGTTCAGCCCCTTCCCGTCCTCCTTCCGCTTCCCGAGGCCGAGCGACCTGTAGATCCCCCAGCTCGAGTTCTCCGCCTCTTCGCTCTTCACGTACTCCATCGCGTCCAGGGCCAGGATCCGGCTGCGGCGCTTTGTCACCTCTGCCTTCCATTCGGCTGGGGGGGGGAGGGTGGCTCATTTCGGGTGGCAGCAGAGTTTTTAAGGCGAAAATGATATGCGCGATCGCGACCGATGAATAAATAATATTAAGTAAATAAATAAATAACAAAAAGAAAAATAAGTAAATAATAGTAACAAATAATCAATGAACACTGCAATTTATGTTATTTATGCGAACACGGTGAATTGCGGACGCGAGAATGCACTAGCAATGAAAAAGCAAGGAATTCCTGCCTGCTAACTGGGCGATGGGCTTGACGCCCCCGTACTCCAGGGGCAAGTTTTCCCTCGGGATCCTCTCCAGGATTGACTTCTCCGAATGGTGGAACTGGGAAGTTTGAATATCAAATGATTCCAGGGGCGTGGAAGTCATGCACTGCATATATATATATATATATATATATATATTTTAAATATTTTATTTACCTATTTATTTATTTAGCGTACCTTCATT